ACAAAAGGGATTGAAAATGCGGCAAAAAATCTGGATATTTTCTTTAGCAATAATTACAGCAGTTAAACTTCAGGGTTTTAAAAGCTAAGGGCAGGACAAGCTCTAAGGGTATTTGCTTAACCTTAAGCAATAAGAGGAAGAAGTTGCTTCGTATATATCCTAGCTGGAATTAATTGCTTACATCTTTGGCTATCGCTTCTTTATCTTTTCGAATTAGAGTATGTGAAATGGAATGTTTTGAAACAGCTAGATTCTCAATTTAGATTGCAAATAAAAATTATGTATTTAACCCCTAACAGAATGCAGTTCTAATCCTCTACACCAGCCAACAAAGTGTAAAAGGCTCAATGCTCCTCCATTTTAAAGGCTATCAAAAGTACATATTGCCAAAAACTATGTTAGCTGAGTCTCATGTTTCAATTACTTTACGTTTTCTCAATATATCTAAAACAATATGACACAACATGCCAGAAAGCTTTTTCATCACAATGGAAGCACTTTTATTTAAAAGGGTTAGGGGGAGGGAGGTCAATGAAATAAAAAAAGACAGTGAATCTTCGCTTCCTGAAAATTACAATGATATTATAAGAAAGTTTTATACGTTTGCGACAGTCATGATATTAGGCATTGAACAAATCGCTTTTTAATAAAGCGCTTTTAAATTTGTGGCTACATTAACAGTATGATCATTCAAACCAGCTCCAGTCCATAAATATCAAATAAACAAGGAAATAATTCTAGCTTCTATATGCAAAAGATTATCTCAGGTCTCACTATGACACGAAAGTTCAACTCAGTTACCTACAAGGGCAAGCAAGGTTTGTTGATAATCACCACTTGGTAGATTGCAGACAATATTTCCCATTGAGAGAGTGAATCAGAGCGAAGGGGATTTTTAATTACATTTTTTTCTCAGAAGGCAAATTTTCATATGTTAAGATTAAGGTATGTTTACTTTAATCTACAGCTACAGCTCTGTGCTGATCATCAGTGATAATCTATTTGTTTACGAAATAAGGTAGCTCCTAAGTGTTGTCACGATAATTACTCAATCTCCAAAAATCCTCTTTTCATAGATTCAATCGCTGAGTGTCTACGAACTCACTATGGTAACAGCATCATTCAGGAGACTTTCACCAAATACGCAAATGTAGAGCAGCTCGTTCACATGTATATCCTCGAACACGCATAAAACTGCAACAGGATCTACAGCACATATGAGAGTAGCAAAGACGGCTATCTCGAGGAAGGACAAAGGGATGGAGAATGTATCGCGAAGGAGGAATAGCATCAAAGCTGAAAATACAGAATTTTTGTATGGATATTTGCGAAAAAATTAAAGGATTTGGTAGTCTACCTATGCAGACCGTATTGAATAAGGTTCCAACAACAGCATAGGTACAAATTGTTCCAATATTTCGGAAAAACTGCTTGTTCTTCAAAAAATATCCAGCTTCAAGAACAATGAGAGGCAGTAAATAGATAAAGAACCAAGAAGGTCGTAAGTAAATCTAAATATAAAATTAGATTGTTAGAAAAATTGCTAATTAAACTTTGATGTTATAGGTGAGAAACTTACTTCATCTTCAAATATAAGTGAAAGGAAAAAACCCGTAGCTATTCCGAAACCCAGTAACAATACCGAATGTGGTACCCGATGAAATCGTGCGAGCACTAAATTAAACGTTTTAAAACGTGCAACAACCCTGACTCAGAAGGAAAAGACGTTCTAGTTTTGCAAAGTTATTGCCGCGAAACGATACTAAATCGTACGTTATTGCATGCAATATGTTACAGTTGCAGACGGAAAACTATACGAATTTCTTGAGAACTAATGCCATTTTACATCTTTTAATAATTGTTTCATTACTTTTATGAAAGATATCCTACAAATTTTTCAAATATCTTACCTATTTTCATGAGAGATATAAGAAGAATTGAGGTAAGAATAGCTAATGGATGACCAGTGTGGCTAAAGTCGATGTGGAACAGGTCAGACGCATGTTCGGCCTGTTCTTCCGACGAATTTGCGTCCAAGATCTTCTCCTGTGACATTTCTAAAAGTTCAAAATAATTACGGATAAAATCATTGTGTGCAGGTTTTGATTTTTGAAACAGGTAAGTCCATTAGCAAAACATTTACTTTGAATACCTCTACCAGTTTGCAGAAATCGTGATTGTGATTTCATTAATTGTAAGGTGGCGATGAGAGTAAGTTATTATATTTCCTGGTTGACTCTATTGAGTGGAACATAATTATTTAAACTCAGATTAGATAGAATTTTCCATCAGTTAATGCCGGCAGTCGGCTGAGAAACAGATTAGAAGACATAGAAGACATTAGAGACAAACACATCAGATATCCATCCACAATTACACTTTGATGATATTATCAAAAAACTTACCAGTTACAAATTATAAACGCCGAACATTACGATGTGATAGATTTCATAAAGTGAACAAATATCAAACACCTCGAACGAAGGCTAAAGAAGGAGCAAAGGCGAAGGGGCGGCGCGTCCTCATCTTTTTCTTCTGCTTCGACAACGAACAAAAAACTAGCGTACGAAATGTTCAAAAACTTTTACTAACCTCCAAGAGCAA